CGTGTAGTTGAATTTCTATCTGTGATAGTTGAATCAATATGTCCTCTTATAATTGAATATAAGCATTCTAAAGGTAGAAAACATGACATCACTTTTCTTTTTCTATTTGACTCTCAGGTTTTTATCATGCACTTGTAAACATAACCGAAATGAAAAAGCATTGAAAGAAAGTCCAAACTACTCTACACTGATAACGACACCTAACCCATGTCCAATCAGTGGTTTCACCTTGGCTCTTTAAACACGGCCATCATCTGATCAATATGAATGATCAATGCAGTAGGTACTTGCAGCATTGATTGTGGGTTGGAGCAAGATTTCAATCGAATATAATTGCAACAGTTGAACTCACTTCTTCTGTGTGTGGCATCTCTCGTCATTAGTAATCGTACGGCCTTCATCTTATTTCTCTTTGCTAAAAGCGGCTACTCCAGAGAGTCACTGCTGGCAGAAATTCACCCTTTGAATGCATTCACAGACACATCCCAGGGGTTTGTTTGGAGGCATGGAGGGCTGGTTTGGCCGCCGCCTTGCAGATGTTGAACATAAAATCTTCATTGTCAAAACATAATCAGAGCTCTGAAACTCTGATGCGCTGTTATTAAAGGCCTTCGCTTCATAATAACTGGAGTGTCACGTCTCCGAGGGCCCATCATGTTTCCCCGCTCTTATATTTGAGTGGAAATCTAAGGAGACAAGGCCTGTGTGGCGCAGCTTAGACAGAGGTTATCTTTGCAACAACATGATTTTTTGTTTCTGCTGTATTTCTTTCTTAAATGTCTTTTATTTTATTTTGTAAAGCACTTTGAATTGCCGTGTGCTGAAAGGTGCTATATAAATAAACTTGCCTTGCCTTGCCTAAACTGAGTGAAACATTTTAGTAGAAGGGTTCAAAAAGCACCGCCATTTATCCTGTAGTCTCCTGCGGTCACCTGCATCTGCATATATTTGGATAACAAAATAGTCTTTGAGTATTTCTTAAAGTGGGAGAAAAAAAAAACGATTTTCTGGCTACTCAAAGCTATAGTAAATATATTTACTTACCTGAAACGATTTGTCACCTATTTGATAAGTTGATCAACAGTGAAACAAATATTATATCAACTTATTAAGTTTTCAGCCTCTCAAGTATAGCAATGTCCTGATTTTCTACATTTGATATCCATTCAAATGACTGTCTTTGGGCTTTGGACCAACAGTACAAGACATTCAAAGATATCACCTTAGATTTTGGGATATTTTCACTATTTTATGGCATTCAATTAATTAATTAATATGCATCTAATCAGAAACAAAACAAATCTGTAATTGTGGTAGCTCTGGTTAGTTGTACACATTATTTTTTGTAATACCCAGGGGGCAAAACCCAATTTTTTTCAGAAATCAGACATGGAATGTTGTAAAAGGTTGTCCACCAGAAATGATATCTAGGACCTTCAAGGATCACAACCTGGGTGGACAACCCGGTCAACTAGCTACTGGAAAGCTACAGTGATATATATATGGTATAGTTTGGCTCAGTTTGTCTTTACCATGAACTGTCACAGAGATATTCAATCAGAAAGAGAATGATGGCATCTGATCCAGCCAGAATCTTTGACTTTTTTTCATATAGGGGTTGCATTGTTTGGACCCTCACTGTAGCTTTCCAGTAGCTAGTTGACCGGGTTGTCCACCCAGGTTGTGATCCTTGAAGGTCCTAGATATCATTTCTGGTGGACAACCTTTTACAACATTCCATGTCTGTAAAATGACTTTGCCCCCTGGGTATAATACATAAACGTGGACTTCAGGGACATTTTTCACAACTTTCTTATATTATAGGCTAAATGATTGATGGAGAAAATAAACATCAGTTTTATTGATGAACATTAAAGATCAATGATCAGCCCTAAATATGTGTGTGCATGATATTTGTTGAGATTTTTTACCAACTGTTTCCCAAGGTCAACACTAAACTTGTATAGTTTGTATGCAAATATTATTTCAGGGTAATCAGATTGAGGGAGTTGATAAAGTCCCTCTGTGACATTCACTTTCTTGTTCTCTGAATACATTGCCTATAGATTACCACGTCCTTCAAGCTGCCTGTTTGACCTTCACTACACTGTTTATCCTCTTGTTCATCTCAAGGGAGCGGCTCCAAGATAGAACTGTCGATAGAGCATGGTACCTGTGAATGAACAATAATGTATTCTGTTCCTACAATAGACTAAAGGGAACACAGATGATGCTGTTCATGTGCACTTTGAACACAAATAAAATATGCATATATGGTTCTCTGCTTTAATCACTCAAAAGATGAATATATACATATAAGTGAACCCATCATGCAGCAGGAGACATGCAGAACAAGTAATGAGGTGGATTTTGGGTCCAGCGGCGCTTTCTGCTTGACTGAAGTAATTGATGCTTATTTAGTTTGTTTATATTTTTGTCTGTGTCATATCCCTGCTGAGTAAAGTGGACTGCAGCCCCCGTTTGAATTCACATTACCCACCAGTTAGTAAGTAATAAAGCTGCTGCTCGGGGTGCTATGATAAAACAGCAAAAACAAATCATCCTCGTGGAGATTGAGTTTTTGAGGCTATTTACAGAGAGAGCGGAGGAAAGATGTTTTGGCTGCAAACAGAGTTGTGTTTTTAAGATGTATGACCCACAGCTGATTTCCCCTTGTGGCCAACATGGGGATACAACTGTGGTTGGCTTAGCAATCAAGATACTCTCCAAAAACATATGGGATTAACCCAGTTTTGGTTTGAATTTCAAAGGATCCCAAAGAGCATAAAGCCCATGAGAATAATCATGAATGTCATTTTTCTTTGCTGTCTGAAGGGAATACTTCCTTTTGGGAGAGCAATGACGGATGTTGCATAGAAACTTTCATCGTCATCCAGCTTTTACTGAAGCATGCACGCAAAAATCTTCACAAAGTCACATACGGCATGCAGCCCTTTTCCACACGGCACACACGCACATTCATATTCAATCTTCAATGGCAACCTTTTTTGGGGTGGATACAATATTTGTGTAATTTTCCACTTACAGCAATCAAACAGGCATGCCTGCTTCCCGTAGGCATGCCTGTGTGCAAGGTTGTGATCTGGAATTCTTTTTTATTCTTCACACAACCTTTTTACCGCTTTCCACGAGAACAAACAATTGCAACAAGATTTTCAGGAAAGATTGCCCCAAAGTGTGCGATTCATTGTGTCTAGCCTCTCTGGCGACAGGCTCTTTTCGTGCTTTTGAGTGTTCAGAACAACTATAAACACTATTGCCCTCAGATGTGGTCTGATGACATATAAACTAGTTTGTGTTACGCATACTCCTGCTTTAGTGTCCCCTCTACACTGGTATGGTTTTATGACTTAAATTAACTCGATAGTATTTGAGAGATCCAATTGAATTGCAAGGGACAACGGTAGTCGTGTTAAGGTCTTTTATTAACAAGACGTCTGCCTGACTTTCCCTTTTATAGCTCCATTTATTAGCACTCTAGCCACAGCCTGTGGTCTCAGTCATGCTGCTCCGTCTGTCTAACGGGGTTTTCATGCACCACTAAAACAAACAAACTACCATCGGCACATGTTGAAATACCTCATTAAATATAGGAGGTCTCTTTTATGCCCTTGTTAGCTTATTACTCACTGTGGATAAACGGAGAGTCTGGGCCACACTGAGAGCAAAGGGCACCCGCCGTCAGACACCGTTTGAAGATGTAAGAAATGCAGTTGTGGTGGAGCAGGACTCCTCTCTGAAGTTTATTTTCTTTGAAGCAGAAATTCAGACTTTAAAAGACTGCTTAAAATGAAGACGTCTTCAGCCGGTGGGGGAGAGGGGGGAAGAGTAAACAAATATGTCAGAGTGTAGTATCGCAGCTGAATGTACTACTGAACTCTTGTTGTACCCTGCGTGACGCTGTACATGCAACGCAGACAAACTGCTGCTTTACGTGCGTATCTCTAAAGGGATTAGGGAACAAACGTAGACCTGAGACGTACAGTACACAGAGACGCAGCACGCTCTCTCAGCCTTGCTTTGGTGATAACAGGATTGTGAGACCTCAAACAACCTCTCCCTCCCCTCTGACACTCCCTCTCCACTTCATCTCCACAGCTCCTCCCTGGGTTTGTAACATTTACTGGGCTTCACAGGAAGCCTGCTGGGCCTGCTACAATTCAGACATGCTCTGTGAGGCCGTGGGAGCATCAGGGACAGTCTCTGTTGTCTGTGGGAGAAGAGGGAGGAGAGCTTGAGAGACACGGAGAGAGCAGAGGGAATTGTGACTATGATTCCCACATTCTGCTTCAAGCCACCCGCTTTATTATATTGCATCCTATGCTATACATGCCATTTTGTTTGCCTCCCCGATGAGCAGTCTTTGAAAGGCTAATTAGCATAATTGGCTTCTAACTAAGTTAATTTCTCTTCAGTCAGAGTTTAAAAGAGGATTTGAATGAATGAGAGGAAGTGGGAAAGAGAAGGAAACGCAGCGGACTGCAGTGCCAGTGTCTGACCTTTTATATATAAGAAGTAAAAAGATAAATAAGAAGTGGAAAGGACACATTTATCTTGCCAGCTTTTTTTTTTCTTTTTATCTTTGAAAGACTTCTTTCCTGTGCAGAGTTATCGTAAAAGCTGAGTTCCTCATAAACTGTGTGAGCGGATCTATTATTGATGTGTGTCTGTAGCTTTTTCTTATTGTAGAGACCCTTTGGGGGACAGCACATCTCCTCAAAGGACCCCCGAATGAACTCTAACTCTTTCTCAGCAGCTCAGTCCACAATAAAAAAAAAAACTGTGCTTTCTATCCAAGGATTCCCTGCCTTTGTTGCAGGGGCTGTTTTAAAGAGCTGTTTTGACCATTGCTTGCCCCCTTTGTCTGCATGCTTACAAAGTTAATACAAAATGCTCTGTATAACCTTCATTGCATTTTTAGTGGGATTTTTAATTGACTCATTCTGATGTTTGAATCTGTTCTGATGTTCTTTTTACAGAAAGTAGTCCAGACAAGGCTAAACAGCGAGGGGAAGCAGCCAGACCAGAGCGCTATGGGACCACGGTACCTCTGCTGCTGAAGGGCGAGGATCGCAGACCTTTCTTCCAGCGCACCACCGGGGTAAATACTCACAAGGCCACTCAGTGCAACACTGAGCCTAATGCTAAGAAGCTTGCTCACACAGCAGTACAGCTGATGCTTCCAAGAGCTGAGCCAAGTACAGATGTCTGGCTTTTTGTTTGACACAACCACAGTATGTCTCTCCTTTACCTACAGTAGTTCCTCTTTCCCCGCTTGCTTGATTTTCCTTCAGTGAAATGCCCCTTCCTGTTTGTTCCCTGTTGTGTTTTCCCTCTATGCTACCTCCCTCTCCTTTGTTTGAGCACGAGTTTGCATAGTAGGCAAGAAAATACTGTGATATTTCCTTGGAACTTGTCATCCCTTCAGCAGCTTTACCTGTCAGCAGTACACAATCCTGACGCTGTGAGAAAGATTAGACGGTGTGAAGCAGCCTTGTAGAATGTTTCATTTCTTTCCTGCACCATAAGATCTATGCTATTTTAAAACATGCCTGTGTATAGTGAAATCAGCCCCTGCTGGAATCAAGACTTGTGTTTTAGGCAGGGAAAAGAAAGGTCTGTCCCACCTTTTGCAGCTGGAAATGGAAGGAAACTTTTCCATAGGAGGAAATGCGTAGGTGTTGAGAACTCCCTGAGCAATCAAACATATTTTTCCTGGTGCAGGCAAGTCACCATCTGAGAGATTTGTTTTTTCTCCAGCCTTCTGCTCCTCTCTCTGAGTCAGTCTGTTGAGGGGGGCACTGAAGTTAATTACATGAATTGTTTATCACCCACATGTCACATTGGCATGCTTTTAGCGTTGTAGAGCTTGTTATGCAACCCATTTTCAAATGCATCAGATTTGTCTAACCCCCAGCTACTGCTGACTGTTGAACATTGTTGTTGACCCGTGCTTTTACAGTAGGCCATCTACAAGCTGACCCTTCCTTAATTAAACTGACTTCCAGGGCAGATGGTGATTGTCCTAGCAGAGATTGCACTAAGACTTAAACGTCCCCATATAACAGATTGATATAGCAGCCGCTCCTTGTACCAGTGGAAGGTTATGAAGCGGCCGTAAAGTATTGCAGAGTCATTACTTACAGTGACATCGGCTTTCCACACACACAAACCCGCTGCCACGCAAAGAAAGACCGACTGACTCTCAGACAGAGCTGCAGACCGGAGACTGGCAAAGTACAGCCTGAAGGCATCAGTCAGCAGACCTAAGAAATGTCACTGTGAAACAGGACAGTGTACGCACGAAATATCAACAGATGAGACAAAAATCTATGTCTGCTCCTCTCTTTGCACATGACTGGCAATTTCTGTCTCTTTGCTGCTACATAAATCCTTTTTGAAAAGTTCATGGCTTTCTTTTCTTGTTTTTCTTTATGTTCACGTCGTAAAATGTTCTGAGTCCTCAGGCACGAACACTCTGTTTCTGTCCGGCTGCAAGGGCACTTCTTCACTCTGATAACAACATTTTTTTCTGAAAAGCATCTTAGAGTTGTTTGTTGGGATATTGCCACTTTAAATTTTGATGTAAGATTGAATCTCAAACTGACATTTAGCAAAGTAAGCACAATCTCCTGCATCTCCTTCATTTCCTGGGTACTTGCATCCATAAATCAGTGCCATCGAAATACTCACAGAGCGTAGTTATCGCAGTTGCTTCTGCACTGAAATACAGTTTTTCTGCCAAGAAACTTCATAACAATATTAAGGTGCCTGATGAATACTGGACTCATGCTCGAGGTTAGGTAAGAAATGCTGTCCATATCTAGTTTTATTCAGCATCACTCAAGCAGATCATTTTTCCCATCATGTTATTAGCAACGAGTATCTGACTTCATGCTGCAACTACCTCCAGGAGTTTTCTACCTAACAGTTGGACACTGTAGATTCTTGCTGGAGCTCAAGGTGTGCAGCCAGTCATCTTAAAATATTCATCTAACAGGAGAGATATCTCATTTCTTCTTGTTCCATTACTGTCTTGCAATAATCAAATGTGATCTGCTCTCACTACATGCCAAAAATGGGCTCTTTGATGAATGATCGCAGTTAGGGCTAACCTTACAGAGATATAAACTGCATTTGTGGCAGCCTCTCAATAATTAAAGGCACCCTGTTTTTGCCAGTTGACGCACTGAAGCATTAAAAGGGTGAACATTGAGGCTGTTATGAATTAGTTAGAGTTAACATGCAATTTAATTCCAGCACGGGCATATGTTTAAAGGTGTAAGCTACTCAAAAGAATTACATAATTGAATGGCTATCAACGAAAAAATGAGGACCATATAAAGTAACAAAAATGGAATTTAAAAGCCTAAAAATTGTACGTACTTACTTGAGCAGTATAGCAATACAACTACGGTCATTGGTTTAGTTGAGTCTAGTCAAACTTTTGTTTCATGCACAGACTTGGGAAGTGAAGGATGTGGAAGCTTCCTTCCGTTTCCTCTTACACTATTGTGCGTTGCCACATCCTGGCTTGTATACAGCCAGTGTGTCAAGCTGAAGGTGAAGCTTCACACAGACGCTGGTTCACAGAGGCAGGATGGGTGAGCTCCGGGCACCGCCTTAACACTCCTCTCATCTTTTTGTGTTTCAGAGCTATCCTGCGTCACTCCAGCTGCTGGTTCATGCAGAAGGTGAACAGCTGATCCTGTTGCTGCAGAAAAATGAGTGAGTTTTCCTCCCATTTTATTTCAATTCTCCATTCATACTCCACCAGGAAAAAAAGAAACAATCTATTTATTATGTTAATCACACACACAACCAATAGATAAAGCCACACTTCCAGCTACGGCTGTCGGGAGGTCTGTGCTATGATGTAGTGTATTCAAGCAGAGAGAAAATAATATGTCCCCTAGTGATTGGACTCTTCTCTTCTCCCGGCTTGTCTTTCTCTTCTCATCAACCTTCCAGGCTGCGGAAAAACACTGTGAACTTTAAAACGAGGGGTTGGGATCATTCGGATGTCATGAATATGTAGATACACAAACATTCTCACACACATTGTTTCCTATAGATGGGAAAGATTGCTTTAGAGCCAGAATATAAAAGGCCAGGTTTCTTGTCCAGGGACTTTCACAATCCAACAAGATTGATGGCATTACTGTCTTCGGTCCTGTTTCTGTCAATGCTTCTTATTCAGAGGAAGTAGAGACATTATATTTCACTCTGCTGCTTAGGGATACAGATATTGACACTGGATTGATGGACTTGGGCCATAACTGGTCACACCTCCATCACACGTAGCTCAGAGCAAACACAAATCAGACCTCTGAGATTTTCTGCCTGCTTCCCCTTTTCAAAATACATAACCTTAGATGGAGGCTGGAAATGAAAAACAACTACTGAAGTTGAAATTCAGAAGTAAAACTTCTCATGGATTCACACGTGTTTCACCCACACATTCATAATAAAACGGCAAATAATTATGAATACTGCAAATATAAAAACTCTATTAGAAAGACCTTTCTTATATGTGAGCAGATTGCCAAACAACTTATCATTACATATTATCAAGCACCCTTCCTCCCCACCCAGAGTTCAAGGTACCCTGCCAACCCTCTAACTATATTATCCCCGTCCAGCAGTTACACACTCCCTAGAAAAACCATGTCCTGACTGACCCTTTCATTCTCCATTCTCCATTTGACCTTTAGTGACCTCAGCATCAGCTGTGAGTCATCCATCAGCAGTCTGCGCCCGGGAGCATGCTGCCATTCCCATCCGGCCTGTTCTCGGCCAGATGTGTCCTCTGATATTGCCTCACCAGTTCAGCCGACTCAGAACAGGTGGTCTCCGACCTCTACGTGCGCCTGTTTGTTGAAGCTATGACAGTTCAGTGAGGGGCGGAAAGAAAGATGAGGGAACAGAACAGGATAAAGAAAAGGATGTAACGATGACTTGAATTTCTTATTATTTTAAGCTGGCTCGAGTGAGTCCTGCTCAGATATAAAATAATCCTATATTAAAAGCATGCACATTGAGCATTCCTAGCACATTAAAGTTAGTTTCACCAATCAAATGTCACTGAAATATACTTGACAGTTTAGTTGCTCAACAATAATGAAGATGGTTTCTCCTAGGGTTTGAATGTGAGGTTTTCTCCAAAGAACAATATATAGTAAAAGGCATAACGGCAGGTGTGGTTTGCATATACATATATCTTCCAGGCTTCACTCACTAACGTATGCTCTCAATGTGGATATCTCCTTTGGATATTCCCTGAAGAATTGTCCCAATTTCATGTTGCCAGTTTTGTCAAACACATCATGAATTTTCTATTTTCAGTACTTGAGACACAATGTAAGCATGGTATTTCTATAAAGTTTCAAGTGAGGTACATAAAAGTAATACTGTGTAGATGTTAGTTCCCTTGCTATGCTATTTAAGGAGAAATGAGGTGAAAACATTAAAGGTTTAGAGGTGGAAAAAAGTGCAGAATCAAGGGAAACGGAACAACCATTGTTTTGTTGAAGTGAACAGATCTGGATGCAAATTTCTTAGCAAGTGGTGCCTCTTTGTGCTGAGTTATGTCAGGTTTTCTGTGAAGGCTCATCCTTTTTTGCGTGAATGTGCTGAGCCTGTGCATTTTGCTCATTTGGCACACCTGCTCCAAGGCCAGTGTGAAATGATCTCAGTCCTTACCAATATAAACACGCTACCAGATCCAATTAATACACTGCTGTTTGTTAGCCGCCTGGCCCGGTCCCAGGGAAACTTGGCTGCAGCAAGACAAGGACAGATCTGCTGAGGAGAGAAATCAGTAGGGGTTCACTGTGTGTGTGTGAATTGTTTGTGTGTGTGTGTGTGTGTGTGTGTATAATGGGAGTGTTTTCATAGGTAGCATACAAAACACCTAAACTTGGATTGGTACAGGCCACTGCTTTTGTCTCTTTACTGCCACTGGGAATTCACAGAACCTTTTGTCTGTTTTACATGTTATCACCTGAAATGTATCACAGTTGTCAAAAACAAATCCTGCAAACTGTTCCTGTTAGTTCAGGGTAATGGATTGTATTTTGTCAGCTCTGTACCCGAGCAGCACATTAGGAAGTGACTATGATCGGCCTCTTGGGTTCTTTCTTAAATTGTAACAGTTACATCTTATTACATATTACTCCATATTTAGCAGTTAAAATAAAATCTGTAGCTTAACCGGGTTGAAAAAGATACAACATTTTCCCGATTCTCACATGTTTAAACATAAGAGCAATGGCAGATACCGGGTCATATAGAATATATAAGGCTTGGCATGTTACATTGCACACAGAGCATGCAGACTTGTGCCAGCAGCAGCGGCTTTGATGTAAAGCGTTGATCAATGGCACAGTTGGCCAGCCTCAGATGATTAATGGTGGTCGTATGGAACATTCCACATTAGTCTTGATTAAAGACTTCAATAGCACTGTCTGGGGGACCAAGGTGCTCATGTGGGTGAGCGGGAGTGTGTGTGAGAGAGGAAGAAATATCAATGATTCACAGCTTGACACACTTACTGCAGTTTTCTACATTTAATATCATAATTTCTGATTTCTGAAGCCCAGTGAAATTGTTCAATACTAGAAGTTTTAATTCGAAGATGTCACTTTTAAGGAACCATTATGGCCACAAGTGACAATCGTGGGATCATTTCCAGAATTAGATAACATTGGTCAAATAAGCTACGGGCAATACCAGACCAAGAAAGGCAGTATTAAAACCAATGATTGTATTGGATAAAGCAACAGTGTGTTATTTGTTTAACTTTTATTTAAACATGTTATTTCTTCTTTCAAAAGTAATATTTTCTGTTGTTAACGAATACAACAAATACTCAAATGTAAAGACAAAACAACCAACATTATGACCAAAACAATACTAAAAAATGAAAAGCAAGATTATGAAACTGATCTGACCTTTCGTGCCTGCTTTAGGCATCCATTTTCAGTTCTCTGTGCTATGGATACATGTTGGTCAGTACCAAACAAACATATTGGTTCTACAGAGAATAGTTCATTACAACTCTCTCAGTATTTAGAAAATAAATGTATGAACAGAAACATTTCTTTTTATATTCTTATATTTCTTTATTCTTCCCATGTCCTAACATTGCTAACAGTAGTTTATTTATATTCTATTGCTATTCTACTTACAACATTTTCTCCAGCTTTTCTCCTTGAACCTCTATGCAGAGCAACCTGCGTTTGCCAGTGAGAACATTTCCTTTCATTCTTCTGTGGCAGGAAAAGAAAAGCGGAAGGAGCCCTTTTGAAACACATGGCCACATCCAAACAACATCATTATGTTTTTGACAAAGAAAAAATCCCCATAGCAACATCCTCAGAGTATTATTTTTTTTAATGCGGAAACAAAATGTCCTCAATTCCAATAACACGACTGACAATGCCTTGATCTGTGTCATTGAGTGGTACCACAGAGGAGATGCAATATCACCCAGGCTGTTCAATGACAGTGCCGCAGACCAAACAAAGAGAGATCCTAGGTTTCCTGGAATGGGTCTGTCAAGAATATGAGAGGCATTGAACTGTGGCCCTGTCTTTCAACTGCGCTTCTTATGTGGAACAGAATTGCCTGCCAGCTTGTTTGTCAACTCTGATGCTAATTGAGGTTGTAAAATACACTTTTTTGCATGCATGTTGTCATTAATATTGACTTTTCATGCAGCCTTGTGGGGCTGTGCTGACCTAATCAACTGCATAAGGTCAGGAAAGAGATGGATTAGTGTTGAAATTCCCCGATGGACGATATTGCTTTAAGAAAAATCCATAATCATAATTTACGTCCAAAAAGTACTAAAGTAGTTACGCATATTTGGATGCCTATGGTAAGCAAAAAATGCAATAGGCAAACAAGGGCTGAGCAAATCAAATGCTGCGTGCATCTTCAATGAAATAAAATGGTCATGTTATTTTACACCGCTTGTCTACTTGTCTCAGCCATCGTATGTCTAAACATGACGCTGGCTATCAAGATTATTTTTCAAATAAATCACTGCGAGCTCTGTATGGTTAAGAGCCTTGTGTGTTCATGACGTGTCACTAGGAGCCTTTGGCAACAGCATGTCAGGGATTTTGATAGCAGATTGCGTCCTTATCTCCATATCGCCAAATAAACCCACCTTTAGATCTGTTAGTATTCCTCGCCAGCCTGCCCAGTGTGCGAAACAATGGATAAAGCATAAAGAAGTCTAAAGAAAAATGAAAGGCTTAACATAATTAAATATTGTAATGTTATCATGGACAGCTGAAAACCATTATCCTAGCCAAAAAACTAGATCATTAAAAAGAACCCCCTTATATCGTCCAATTCTGAATGTTTAGCAGCAGCAGACATCACTTTGACGGTCTTCTTCTTCTTCTGCCTCGTCGTCCAACTCTTCCATCACTTCCACTTCCTTTGTTCCCGCATGCCTGTGTTCAAGTTGTTGTGATTCTCTTTTCCTGTGACATGGCTCAGTATCTATAACCTACCCCCCCTCTCTTATCTCTTGTTGTCGCTTCCTATCCCTTCCTCCCACGCTCTCCACATGCATGCTTGAGTTTCCTCTGAGCATCTCTTCTGTCACAGTGCAACCTGAGACCAGGCACCAGTGGGGACGGTGGACCTCAGGCTGCTGTTTGGTGCCAACACGTGTACTACTCATAGTTTGGTGCCAAAGCTCTGTGTGACAT